AAAAAAAGTTCATTGTTAGTGCTATTGAACATTTTATCAGACAACATCTCAACCTATATTTTGCGGCTATTCATTAAATATTCAAAGGAGGAGAACAAGTTTTCTAAAGAAAATAGGGAAAGGAATTACATCTTTTTATTACCGTCGTGACCCTTTTTGTAATGTTCGGAGCTGACCAGGTTGATCGGCGTTGGCAGAATTGAATAAGTACTTCAAAAGTTATCTTTATACGAACTATGATTCAACAGAATCTAAAGCAGCTGTGCACGGCTATTTGACGAAGAAGAATCAATTACGGACATGTTTTGTTCATCGCTGTGGCATTAGTTCAAACGCTTCAGTCTGAACCCCGGTGAAATGGAATTCTAGAAATATGCCGAATGTTGCTGCTATTGAAACATCAATTAAAGTTATAAGCCCACTAGTGGGTGTGGAGTAGTAAAAATATATATAAAATGCTGATGCTGCTGAAACTTCAATCACAGAAAAGCTATGCGGAGAGGAAGTCGTCTGCTTCTTTTGCAGGTGTTGTGGTGACGTCAGAACAACACCGAGCTCTGATTGGCTTTCATTGAAAAGTTAGTAAGAGACCTTAATCCTAGATGCCTCAAGGTCTACCCAATGTTTCTTTTTTTAATCAGCCAATAAGAGCTCAGCGTTCGGACATCATCGTAACCTCTGTGCAAGAATCAGACGAACGTGTGCTCCGCATATGTACAATTAACTAATAATTCAAAAAAATTGAATTGATAACATGGTTTTTTTATGGTCGTGGTTCTGTTCATGGTAATTTTTGAGTCTGACCCTTTTGACAGGGAAGGGCAAATAGCAAAGGAAATCGTTAGGGCAATTTAAACTTAAACCTTGCATATTTATAAGCTTTACGACTAATTAGGAAATATGATAATATGACTAACATGGTGTGTTCACTGCTTTAAAAGCTTAAGTTGTAAAGGCGAAATCGGACCAAAGGCGTAGAATGACATAAATATCAAAAATATTTGTGCCATAAACCCTTTTATGGCAAACAAATTATTAAGCTACGTTTGATTATTAGTGTGTACATTAACTTATATGTCTTGTACATTGTGGTTCCGTTTGCTTAAATTTTCGAAGCTGTCCCTGTCAACGCAAGATGTTAGAATGAAAAACAAAAAAGTATGCCAAAAGCCAGCGCGATAAGTATCTAAAGTTATGGTTGATACGAATTTGAGGACGGTGAACAAAGCACTTACATGTCGTGTCCATTGCTGTGGTAACCTCAGCTGTATTGAACAAATCGGACCCCGCTAATGAACGAAGGCAGAATGACATATATACGTCATATGTTGGCCCCATTAAAACGGGTGACATAAACTTTATAACTAGGTTTAACAGTCATTAGACTAAAAAGAAACTCATTTACATGTTTTTTTCCTCTTTGTAGTTTCGTTAATTATAGTGGCTGAGTCTGTTTCTGTCGACATTCGTAAAAAAAATTGAATGACGCAGAACAAATGGGCATTGTTGGAACTCTGACTACACAGAATATAACGGGATAACAGTTGAATTAAACTTAAAACAAAAATACCTTGCTCGTTAAGTCTATTGACGGGGCTGCTTCCGGTTTAATGTCTTAATGTAACTACATTTTAAAACTAGTTTGCGAAAATGGTTTATACTCCATTAAATCTTGGTGAGACAGAATCTGAAGACATTATGTTCTTGGGAAAATTGTAACAAGAGATTTGCATTTAATATTTTTTTTTTAAATTCTGCATATGCCCGCAAAACTATTCTTTTAAGGAAAAAGAAAAACAGTAGCAAAATTAATTTTGCGTGAGATGTTAATTAGTGAGCAAGCGGCATCTCTTAGTCTTCCTACATGGCGAACTCACTTGCCATGGCCATTTCGGATTTATCGCCTGTTCCTATTAATGCAACATGACTGGTTTGGTGGGCATACCACCAAGCCCAGCAATAAAAAAATATGAATTGATTAGTCTGTTACTCAACGCCAACGAAATGTTATCACTGTAGGGTTACAAAGTACTGGATTAATGTTAGCGAAAACGGCTATGAGAACTTCGAAAAATAACATATATCAACTTGGATTGAGCGCGTTGGTAATAAATTAAAAAATATGCGAAAGAGTCAGACGAAGAGGACGGACAGGACAGACATCTTTCGTTTGTCCTGTCTAGCTTAATATGAGTTCGAATATGCCCAAAAGACCTCACGAACGTATTTGTATACCATCCCAAGGGAGGGTCCTGCAACAATATTTGGACTTCGGTCAAATCATTGTGGGAGTTGATCCATATCACGCGTGCAGTAAACTGAAAACCGCATTTTGCCTGAGTGTGTTAGTACTTTTTTCAATTATTAATGGTCAACTATTGAGTTTCTGAGAGCCTCCCAACTGCCCTCCACTTTTACATAGTCCTGCAAGGAACGTGCGCAGTGACATGTAGCTGGGTGCAATGCGGACACTGCTTCATGTTGGGTTCTCTTTTCAGAGCCTCCAGCGCGCGCTACCTCTTCGACCACAAATCGTTCCGCGCCGAATCGCGGCGCAGCTTGCAGGGCGGCGGAGCTAGCCATTCCCGGCGATTTGTGGATAACCAGGGATCGCGACAAGAGAAGAAACACCGCAGGAAAGCTTGCAAATCGGACGCTGTCTTCACGTTTCAAAGAGACGACATGAATAAAAAAAAAAATGTTGATCCTGTTTCCCGTCTTGGGTCCCTCCTTTTCTACTCCTTTTCTGCTTCAGTGGTGCGTTCAGTCTTTGAGCAGTATAGCCTGTGTGTTTTGGTTCCGTGAAAAGGCTCTATAAAGTAGAGTCCCCCATCATCTTCCCTTTTGTGTCTGAACGCGTTTGTATTCGAATTCCACCATGAAAAACCAACATGTGTTTGAGCCAACCAGGATTTCAAAAACGCGAAGCAAAAGCAAACCGATATTGCTTATTGCTGTCTAATGTGCCCCTTTGTTTGTAAATAAATGTAATGAATGATAGAAACTATAAATAAGCCGTTAAGGGAGTTATTGGAAGCCGCTGAAGCCCATTGTGTGCCTCCACTTGCTGCGCGCTGCATTTGGGAATCGCAGCGGCAGAAAACGCTCCTGATCAGAGAGTCAAGGTCGAAATACGTGAGACGAAAACTTGAGAACTGTGGCGCGGTGCCGCTAGCTGCAGTGATTTGGCTGCAGATCGCAACGTCACTGCGGAGAGAGGTCCCATAATGAAGTTCAGGCATCCCGCACATCCTGATATAAAACCCTGATCACTCTAGCAAAACATGACAAAAAGAGGTACTGGTTTTATGCCGGTCGGGCAGCTGGTGCTACTAACGCGTAGTATAATAAAATAATGTCGAGGATACAAGGCCTTCGACGAATTTCTCCATGTTGAAACGGAAACAATTGATAAATATAAGCTTTAGTTTGGCATATAAAGAAACACCTTGACAACTTATTCCAAGGCACCCAAAGCTTCGACATAAGATAATAGAATAAAGGCAAAAAAGTTTTAATATATTAAGTGGCTCAATCGGATCCTCCTAACCCACAATAGTAAAATTAACAAAGTACCCTAACGATAGCAGTCTTGAACCTCTGAATATACAGTACCAAAGCATATACAACTTTGGTGACCTTTCAATGAAAGCGACAAATTACATACATGGTGCATTTATTGGTGTGGCGGCTTCAGTTCTAACGATTGACTGCCAACTTGGAACTAAAAAGGTGGTTTTGAGAAAATATGCAAAATTTTAATACTATTTGAACTTTGACGAAGCATAATTTTAATATATAATCGACAACAGTTATGGAAATCGCGGTAAAGCATTACTAACCAGTTGCGTGCAATGCTGTGGTGACGTCAGTTGGTATGTTTGAATCTGATCCTTCCAAAATAAAGTAGAATTTGAAAAACAAAATCAGTTATGAGTTGGCCCTATTAAATATTAAAACTTGGATGAGACAACACCTGAAGTTACAACCGACTACTATTGAATTAATATCATAAACATCCGGGGAAAGGAATACTGACCCGTTGCGTTCATTGCATTGGTAACTTCAGTTGCCATGGCTGAATCTGACTCTGTTGAAGAGAAAATAAAGTTGGTTAGAGTTGACAGAATAGGTAAGATGTCAACACTATTGAAACTTTAACAAGACCAAATTTCGGCACTATAATTTAATGCAATGGAAATAGCAAAAATCGAAGGAAACAAATAATGCACTGACCCGTGACGCTTATTGATGCAGTAAAATTGATTAAAATGGTTAAATTTGACCTTGTTGCAGTGAAGGCAGTGTTTGAAGAAATATATACTGTATTAGCACTATAGAAACGCTAATTAGTCGAAATCTGAAGCTACAGTTCACTTCCATTTATTGAACAGACCAATCTTCATAAAGTCTTTCTGACCCGTTGTATTCATATGTGCGGTAAGATCAGTTGGAATGTTTGGACCTGACCCTGCTATAATAAAGGAGAGTGAGCAAAATAGGTAAAATATGAATATAATGCAATTAAATGCAAAATTACAAGCTTTTACTTTACTGCTGTTTAAAAATTGCCTCAAGTTAGAATTTACCACAATTAAATTATTATTTAAATAAAAACATTATTGGGAAAAGATCAGTCACCCGCTGCGTTCACCTCTATTAATATTGGTTTAAATATTTGAATCCGACTCTGTTGCCATGAAGCTGAGTCGGCAAATTAGGTAAAGTATTAGAGCTATTAAAGCTTCTTTCATTGGAAGCCGCAGCTGACCACCTTTAAATCGATACAGCAAGCATCTTGAGAATAAATTAATGCACCATTGAATTCACTGCTGTGATAAGATCAGTTGGATTTTTGTTAATTGCGCTCCTATTAAAGTTAGAGTTAAACTTATGTAAGATATTAGCTTTGTTGAAGTTTGGTGAGACAAAATAGGACGCTAGATTTTACTGCCTTTAACTGAACTTAAAAAAAGTCTTCCCACGATGGAATTACTGACCCGTTGCGTCCATTGCTGTCGCGCCATCAGGTGGAATCATTGAACTGCCCCTTGGTGCTGTGAAGGTAGAGTTCACAAAGTATGTAAGAAATTCACACCATTAACTTTGATAGAACATAATCTTCAACTACAATAGACTACCAATGAATCAATATGAACATTATCTGAAACATTACTGACCCGTTTTATTTATTAGTGTTGTAATATTAATTTGAAAGTTGAATTCTGACCCGTTTTGGGATGCAGGTAGCGTTATCCAATACATAAAATATTAATTACATTCTAACAGTTCTGCCACAAAATTAAAAAAAGGAGGGTTATGATTTGATGCGTTCACGGTGGTAACATCACATACCATACGTTTTTAAACCTGTATGAGACTAATACCAAAGCTTCGACATAAGATAATTAAATTAAGGTAAAATCGCTACTCGTCGCGTTGGTGGTTATGGTTTCTAGTTATTAAGTGGCTAAATCAGATACTCTTAACCCACAATAGTAAAATTAATAAAGTACCCCAACGACAGCACTCTTAAACCTCTGAATATACAGTACCAAAGCATATACAACTTTGGTGACCTTTAAACGAAAGCGATTAATTACTTACATGGTGCATTTATTGGTGTGGTGGCTTCAGTTCTAACGATTGACTGCCAACTTGAAACTAAAAAGGTGGTTTTGAGAAAATATGTACAATATTAATACTATTTGAACTTTGACGAAGCATAATTTTAATATATAATCGACAACAGTTATGGAAATCGCGGTATAAGCATTACTAACCAGTTGCGTGCAATGCTGTGGTGACGTCAGTTGGTATGTTTGAATCTGATCCTTCCAAAATAAAGTAGAATTTGAAAAACAAAATCAGTTATAAGTTGACCCTATTAAAACTTGGATGAGACAACACCTAAAGCTACAACCGACTACTATTGAATTAATATCGTAAACACCCGGGGAAAGGAATACTGACCTGTTGCGTCCAATGCTTTGGTATCGTCAGCTGGCATGGATGAATCTGACTCTGTTGAAGAGAAGATAAAGTTGGTTAGAGTTGACAGAATAGGTGAGATGTCAAGGCTATTGAAACTTTAGCACGACAAAATTTAACTCTATAATTTAATACCATTGAAATACTAAGAATCTTAGAAAACAAAAAATGTACTGACCCGTTGCGCTTATTGATGCAGTAATATTGATTGAAATGGTTAAATTTGACTCTGGTGCAATAAAGGTAGAGTTTGAACATATATCCTTTATTAGCACTACGGAAACGCTAATTAGTCAAAATCCGAAGCTACAATTAACTTCTACTTATTGAACAGACCAATATTCATAACACCTTGTTGACTCGTTGTGTTCACTTGCGCGGTTAGATCAGTTGGAATGTTTGGACCTGACCCTGCTATAATAAAGCAGAGTGAGCAAAATAGGTAAAATATGAATATCATGCAATTAAATGAAAAAGTGCAAGCTTTTACTTTACTGCTGTTTAAAAATTGCCTCAAGTTAGAATTTACCACCATTGAATTAATATTTGAAAAAAAAATCATTATTGGAAAAGATCAGTCATCCGCTGCGTTCACCTCTAATAATATTGGTTTAAATATTTGAATCCGACTCTGTTGCCATGAAGCAGAGTGGGCAAATTAGGAAAAGTATTAGAGCTATTAAAGCTTCTTTCATTGGAAGCCATAGCTGACTACCTTTAAATTGATACAGCAAGCATCTTGAGAATAAATTAATGCACCATAGAACTCATTGCTGTGATAAGATCAGTTGAATTTTTTTTAAATTGCGCTCCTATTAAAGTTAGAGTTAAACGTATGTAAGATATTAGCTCTGTTGAAGTTTTGATGAGACAAAATAGAACGCTAGATTTGACTGCCATTAACTGAACTTAAAAAAGTCTTCCCACAATGGAATTACTGACCCGTTGCGTCCATCGCTGTCGCGTCATCAGATGGAATCATTGAATAGACCCTTGGTGCTGTGAAGGTAGAGTTAACAAAGTATTTCAAAAATTAACACCATTAACTTTGATAGAACACAATCTTCGACTACAATAGACTACCAATGAATCAATATGAAAATTATCTGAAACATTACTGACCCGTTTTATTTATTAGTGTTGTAATATTAATTTGAAAGTTGAATTCTGACCCGTTTTGGGATGCAGGTAGTGTTATCAAATACATAAAATATTAATTACATTCTAACAGTTCTGCCACAAAATTTAAAGAAGGGAACGGTTATGATTTGATGCGTTCACGGTGGTAACATCAGATACCATACGTTTTTAAACCTGTATGAGACTAATACAAAAGCTTTGAGATAAGATAATTGAATAAAGGTAAAATCGCTACTCGTCGCGTTGGTGGTTATGGTTTCAAGTTATTAAGTGGCTGAATCGGATGCTCTTAACCCACAATAGTAAAATTAATAAGGCACCCTAACCACATCACTCTTAAACCTCTGAATATACAGTACCGAAGCATAAAAAACATTGGTGACCTTTAAATGAAAGCGAATAATTACTTACATCGTGCATTTATTGGTGTGGTGGCTTCAGTTCTAACGATTGATTGCCAACTTGGAACTAAAAGGGTGGTTTTGAGAAAATATGTAAAATGTTAATTCTATTTGAACTTTGACGAAGTATACCCAGGCAGCACCGAGTTCTGGGCCAAAACTTGGCTTGCGTCTGGCAGTTTAGGGCATTAAGAAGCCCGAAGAAGCCAAAGTAGTGCCAAACCTGACCTCCCTTGGCAACAGTCTGGGTATCTTGGCCCTAATTCGCCAAACAAGTGCCAAACTTAGGCTTCGCCGCCGGGTGGTTCGGCTGTCGTCTGGCATCTTCGGGCCCAAATCGCCTAAAAAATGACAGATTTAGGCTTACTGCCCGGTAGTTCGGCAGATCTTTGGCATTTTTGGGCCAAAATCGCCAAACTAATGCCAAAGTTAGGCTTGACTTTTCGATAGTTCGGCTATCACCTGGCACATTCGGGCCAAAATCGCCACAGATGTGCCAGAGTTAGGCTTACTACCTTGTAGTTCGGCAGAGCTTTGGCATTTTTGGGCCAAAATCGCCGAACTAATGCCAAAGTTAGGCTTCACTTTTTGACAGTTCGGCTGTCACCTGGCACATTCGGGCCAAAATCGCCAGAGATGTGCCAGAGTTAGGCTTACTACCTTGTAGTTCGGCAGAGCTTTGGCATTTTCGGGCCAAAATCGCCAAACTTATGCCAAAGTTAGGCTTCACTTTTTGACAGTTCGGCTGTCACCTGGCACATTCGGGTCAAAATCGCCACAAATGTGCCAGAGTTAGGCTTACTACCTTGTAGTTCGGTTGAGATCTGGCATCTTTGGGCCCAAGTCGCCAAACGAGAGCCCAAGTTAGGCTTCGCTTCCCGATAGTTTGGCTGTGATCTGGCAGCTGCGGGCCAAAGTTGCCAAACAAGTGCCAGAACTAGGCTTACTGCCTTGGAGTTCGGCTGATGAAATATTTGATGTACTCGGGTGGTCTTCATCTTAATTAAATAGAAATCAAGTTTTATTCGGCTGGCAACTTTATCCTATTTTTGGTGTCTCTTGATTTCTGGAGTCCAAAGGTTGGCTGAATGTTTTGACGCGGCTGGAGCAGGCTTTGCAAACGCAAATAAATTGTGCCAGAGGTTGCACTCGCGCGTAGGTACACAAGCCAATATCGGGGCGCGCCGTGACACTGGTTCGACATTATGGCGCGTTCACACCGGCGATGCGATCTAGTCGCGCCATAACTTTCATCGCAAAAGCGACCATCGCGGGCAAAACGTGACGGGTTTTGAGCAGTCGCTTGCTGACCCGACTTTTTACGATGCACTCTAGTCGCGGAGAGGCCGAGCCAACCAACGGCGTTCGGAGCGAGAGTTTTTGAGAAGCGAATCGCCAACGAAGGCGTTGGACTCGCTCATCGCGCACGCCAAATTGACCAACTAATTACTTTTATTTATTTTTTTTTTTTTTTGCGATGCGATTTAGTTGGATCGCTCGACTGCTTACATCCCCGGTGTGAATCCGCCTTTACAGAAAGTGCTGCCATTGAGCTAACACTGCGCAAGACGGATGTACGCACGTTTCCACAAGAGATATCATTATTAGGCGGCGCATTGCAAAAGCGAGCGTGGCTCTGTGCGTGTCTTGCATTGTGATTGAGCACTGTCAAATCCTAGCGATAACAAAGAGCGGAAACGACCGGGGCTCCGTGGCGCGGCTCCCGCATCACAGTTGGGGAATGAAAATAAAATCCCGGAAATTGTACTATTTTACCGTGTTGATACTTTTTCAACATTAAAAAGTGGAGACACAAAAGGGACGATACAGACAGGACAATCTGAACTTTAAAGGCCGCTGTACAAACGGGACGTTCTACAGAGAAGAACCTTCTCTCCCGAAGCTAGGGGACGGGGAGGGAAAGGGCCATCGTTGGGTGGAAAGAGCGTCTAGAGAATGGGATTAGCCTCGGGGCGAGTCATCTTCTCGAGAGGGAGTGGGGACGGAACAAAGCTGCGGTGGGGGTTCCGGCTAAAAGGTGGAAGAAAGTTAAGCTTGTCAAACGGCGACCTCAGATCCGAGGACGGGCACTTTAGAGAATTTGAAAAAAGCTGCTTGATTAGCCGGACGACCCAGTGCGGTCTACTGGTTCTAGAAGGTGACTCGCATGAAGAAAACTCGTTTTGCTCGAAAACTCTAAAAGCATTCTGGACGTGAACTCTTGCCACAAATAAAAATAACACATGCATGAAAAACTACGAAGGCAACTAAGCTTTCTCCTATGATGGGAGAATGCGTGAGCATTACAGGCGGAGTTATGTTGGCGCAACTTGCAATAAAGAAAGAAAAAAAAAAGTTATGTTGGCGCAACGGACAGCGCGCTAGTTTCACGATCAAGCGGGCCTAGCTTCGAAACCGGGCTGGTATTTTTTCTCGTGTTCTTTTTTTTTTTTTTTATTTCGTTTATTTTTTTTTTGGTCACGTAACAAAAAAAATCACATGAACAGAATATTTTTTTTGGCCACGTCACCAGATTTTTTTTTTATTTCTCCTTTCCTTCAGTTTTTCTTTCTTTTTTTTTCCTTTTTATTGGTCTACGCTTCCTATCGCAAAACTCTTTGCACCTATTTCGCGTTAAATTGGCGTTAGCCAAATCATTTTATTTATGGCAGGGAGTTCTGCCGTACGTATTTTATGTTACTATTACCAACCCTGGCTTGCAATTTCTGCTATCCAAAGGACTGGACTATGCCCTTGCTCCACGGTACGTTCCAAAACCTGACTTCATAATTGAAATTGAAGAGAAACTCAGACATGTGCACGATGTCACAGGGGTAAATCTCGCGAGAAGCCGCGTTGTCAGTGTTTCGAACAATGTGAAACCGGCCGGGTCAAATTTAGATCAACAAGAACGCATTGCTCTTAAGGAGTTGAAGTCAGACAGCCCCATCATGATTTGAAAGGCCGACAAAGGAAAAGGAACCGTTGTGCTTGATAGGGATGACTACATGAAGAAGATGTATGAAGTTATAAATGACAGTCGCTATTTCGTGAGGCTATCAAGAGATCCCGCTGCTAAGTCCGAAAGAGAGTTAGCTGACCACCTTCGAGAGCTGAAAAAGAAAGGACGCATCAGTGACGACCTATACCGTCGCCTCTTCTCCTTTGACGCCGCGACACCCAAGATGTATGGACTCCCTAAAATTCACAAACCGGGTTGCCCCCTACGCCCGATTGTATATGTTATTGTTTCATCCACTTACAGCCTTTCCAAATATCTGGTTATGATTCTGAGCCCTCTTACGGGAAAGAATGAGTTTAGCGTCCGGAATTCCCGTGACTTTGTTGAACTTATACGCGCTCAGACCCTGCTACCGCGCGAGGCTATGGTATCCTTTGATGTGATTTCATTATTTACGAATGTCCCCAACACCCTGGCGGTTGATGTCGCCCGTGACCGGTTGTTGGCAGACCAGTCGTTGTCCACTCGCACAACCCTCCTAGTTGATGACGTTATACTCCTTTTGCGTTTTTGTCTCAACCAGTGTAATTTTAGTTTTAATGGGGACATATTTCATCAGGTCAGCGGATGCCCTATGGGGAGTCCAGTTTTCGTAACCGTCTCGAATCTCGTCATGGAATATATATGTTGAGGAAAAGGTAATGTCTGGCATTGATTTCCCCGTGAAGTTCTACCGTCGCTATGTCGATGACACTTTTGTAATAGTTAACAGAGAGAACGTAACCGATTTTCACCGCAATTTGAATAGTGTCCACCCCTCAATTCAGTTCACCTGCGAACATGAAACCGATAGTACCTTGCCGTTTTTTTATGTACGTGTCCATAGAACTAGTGAATCTTTCTCTAAGATGGAGACATCCGTATATGGTAAACCATGTGACAGACAAAACTTTCTTGACTACCACTCTCATCACCCTACTCAACACAAAAGCTCCGTTGTAAGATCGTTGCCTTCATCGTTCAGAAACAGTCCCATCTAACTCAACACTTAGCGATCAAGAACTTAGCCATGTGCGGGAGGCTTTGAAGAAACGTAACTACCCCGACCGGTTTATCAATCGCGTTAAGAAACAAATGTCCCGTCGGCGCCCGGATCGAGCCGAACGAACACGTGACGTCGTGTGCATCCCGTACGTTAAGGGGGTTTCGGAGGCATTGGGACGCGCCCTTAGGCCGTTGGGGGTACGAACTGTATACAAACCCTACAGAACAATTGCCAATCTTATCTCCAAGCCAAAAGACCCGACCCCGCCAGAGGCAGAAAGGGTCGTGATCTACCAGGTGCAGTGCAAGGAATGTGACGCTTCCTACATTGGAGAGACGGAACGAAAAAGAAAAACAAGACTAAAAGAACACGCACAGGATATGTCGCCAATTCCACGAACGCCGCCCGCTTCAAGTCCGAACTCGTCGACCATGCCTGGACGTCAGGACACCAATTTGACTTTGACAAGGCGTGGGATAAAAGGTGGGGACTGAGGAAGCTGCTGGAATCTTGGTTCATCCAGAACGACAAACGCGGAAGTGATTCATCGCTGGTAAACAAGAACCGTGGCCCCCTGCCGGACGTGTACACAAACTTTATGCCTAAATAGCCGAACTTTTTTCTGCGACTCTCACTCGCTCTGCGCTCTACTGAAGATGCCTCCCGCATGGGAGGCGAAACGTTTAATTAAATTGTTATTTTTGTGATGTCAAGCCGTTTTTGTTATTACATTTATCATGTCTTCGCCCGGCTTCTGGAGTATTTTTGCGCTCCTAAATTCACCGGTACGACAGCCATGGGAGGCCACTGCGAGCGAGTGGGGACAGAAAATTCAGACTTGGACGTAGTTCAACTACTCTACTCAAACTACATTAGTTTAACTACTTTTTCGAGTAGCTTGGTAACTTTCAATTACAACTTGATTTGGGTAATTAGTAGTTTAATTTAACTACTTTTTTCAGGTAACTTCTACTCAAATTACTAACTACTTTCGAAATTATATAATGCTAATTTTGCCCATCACGAAAGTTTGAGCGCAGAAATGAGTAAGACGCCGGCAG